TATATTTTCACAGGTATAATCAAAACAGACTTATCAGATCATTTTCCTACCTTTTTAATAACTAATAATATAACAATTAATAATATTTCTTCTAAATTTATAATATACAGGCGGCAGATCAATAAATACTCCTTACAAAAATTTCAACACCTTTTAAAATATAACGTTGATTGGAATCTCATAATGCAATCTGTAGAGGTAAATAATGCCTATGAACTATTTCTTAAATTTTTTTGTGAGCAATATGAAAAAGCTTTTCCTGAGAAAAAAATTATTATAAATACCAAGTCATATCAAGCTCCATGGATGTCTAAAGGTTTATTAAAATCTTCAAAGAAAAAAAAAGTTGTATGAAAAATTCTTAAAAAAAAAAACGTATAAAAATGAAACAAACTACAAACTTTATAAAAATATATTTGAAAAAACTAAACAACAATCAAAAAAAAATTATTATTCAAAGTTGTTAAAAAAAAACTAACGGAAATGCCAAAAGTACGTGGAGCGTAATTAAAGAAATTATTGGCAGAAAAAATAATGGAATAACTATTCAACCAAAGAAACTCTTAGTAGATGGAAAAATAATATATGATAAGTCAATAGTAGCTAAAAATCTAAACAGCTTCTTTCTTAATATTGGTCCAAACTTAGCTGAAAACATTCCTTCAAGTTCATCATCGTTTGATTCTTATTTAAAAACATATGATAAGGTCATGGACGAATCTAAACTAGATATTAATGAGTTACGATCTGCTCTAGATAATCTTAAAAGCAACATAAGTGTAGGTTTTGATAATATTAGCATAAATGTTGTTAAATCAGTTTTTCATATTATAGAAACCTCTTTATATCACATTTTTAATCTTTCTCTTCAATCTGGAACAGTTCCAGAAAAATTAAAAATTCTGGCGATGACACGGATTCTTCAAATTATAGACCAATATCAGTTTTACCATGCTTTTTTAAGTTACTCGAACGTATAATGTATAATAGGCTAAACAGCTACTAAACAGTAATTAACATATAGTACAACAAGCAATTTGGCTTTAAAAAAAATCATTTAACTCATCACGTTTTGACCGAGTTAGTAACTCATGTAACAAATGCCTTTAATGATGACCGTTTTACATTAGGAGTATTTATCGATCTGTCTAAAGCCTTTGACACAGTCAACCATGTCATTCTTTTAAAAAAACTTGAACATTATGGAATAAAAAACAATAATTTACTATGGTTTAAAAAATACTTATCAAACAGACAGCAATACATTCAATATGAAAATGTTAAAACGACAAAAAGTATAATAAAATGTGGAGTTCCTTAAGGCTCAATCTTTGGACCATTACTGTTTTCTCTTTATGTAAGTGATCTATTTCTTACCTTGAACATATCAAACTATATTTTGTTTGCAGATAACTCCAATCTGTTTTATTCTCATAGGGATATTAAAACCCTCTTTAAAGTAGTTAATGAAGAAGTAAACAAAGTAAGCGAATGGTTTATTTGTAATAAACTTTCACTTAACGTTAAAAAACTAAGTTTATTCTATTTCACAAACCAACTAAAACAGGAAACATTCCTTTAAAATTACCCAATCTTAAAATCTATAATATAAATATTACTAGGCAAACAACTGTAAAATTTTTAGGTATTATTTTAGACGAAAATTTAACATGGAGGAAACATATAAACACTCTTGAAAAAAAACATTCAACAAACATTGCAATGATGTATAAAGCAAAACCATTTTTGGATATAAGTTCTCTAAAAAGTTTATACTTTTCCTTTATACATAGCTATCTAACTTACGGCAATATCGTATGGCAAGTAACAGCTACGCTAAGTTAAAAAAAATTTAAACTAAACAAAAACATGCATGTAGAATTGTATTTGGAGTAAAAATAACTGTGCCTTGTGAGCTACTTCTACGTAAACTCAATGCATTAAATGTGTTTAAAATTAACATATTTCTCGTCATACAGTTCATGTATCAAATAAAACATGGACTGTCTCCAGCGATATTCTATCCTTATTTTAGAGAAGTAAGCCATAAATACCCCACCAAGTTCTCAGAAAATAACTTTGTAACTCAAAAGTATAATCTAAAGTTATGTTCTTATTCTATTCAGTACAGGAGCCCAATTCTGTGGAAAAACTTTCAGCATATTGTTAATATTAAAGAAAAAACATTTCCGCATTTTTTTATAAATAGGGATTGGTTTAATCTATTTTGAAATTAAACAATTAACAGCAGAAATGTCAGGAACGAGTACAGAAGGTTTATTATGCAAGATTAAAAAAGTAACTATGCCGCTTTAGTAAAACCAGTTAGTAAAACAAAAAAAAAGTAGATCTCCTAAAATATTTTGTATTGACCTCCTTAAACACATTCTCTTTTAAAATGAAGTAAAAACTATTTAAACCCTGTTTTTTACATTGTATTACCATTAAATATCTATATACATTTTAAGAAATGTTTTTTTGATTTTCTCCACCAAACGACTATTAATAAATGTACTCTTTGTATACAAATATACTCTTTTAATACAAATATACTCTTTCAATACAAATGTACTCTTAGTACAAATGTACTTTTGTACAGACTTTTGTACTCTTGTACAAACAAATGTAATTGTTTTACAAACAAAAACAAATGTACAAATGTACTTGTACAAACAAAAACAAATGTAAATGTACTCTCGTGCAAACAAATGTACTCTTAGTACAAACTTTTAGTACAAATGTACGCTCAATGTACTCTTTTAATACAAATACTCTATAATATTACTTTTAAAGATGGTGAAAATATTCATTATACGTCGTAAAATATTAATTTCAGCAGCCTAATTTCTAATAACTTAAATGATGTTCTTTAAAGATGCTTACTGTTTAGATTAATTATGCAGCGCAACAATCTTTCTTTGTACTCTAGATGATTATTATTTCGCTTATACCTTAACCAATGTTTATGAAAATCTTGATGAGAAGTTTCAACAGTTTGTTTACTATACCCGAGAAAAAAAAACCCCGCTAATCCTGTTAAGTTCCTAATAAGTTTCCTACTAAAACTTAGTAAGTTCCCGCCGAGTACTTACTAGGAACTTAGTAGGATTAGCAAGTTTTAGTAGGAAACTTAGAAGGATTACTAGAGTTTTTACTCTGAACTTAGTAAAATAAAAACTCGTGCTCAATAGTTAATTTAAATTGAAAACATCTGTATTAATTGAACTTTCAATACTATCTCATAAGTTTGACTGCTATATAAATACTAATAATCACAATAGGGCCGTACCGTGAAATTTTTTAGGGAAGGGTCATTTTTGAAAAAAAAAGGCATTTTTATAACACTAAACAAATATCTTACTAAATTTACTTAATAAAATTTTTGTGAAACATAGCTATATTTGTGTAAACAATGTTTACATAAACGAATTTATTGTTCTCCAAATATTTTTTCTATTTTTATACTGCATAGGCGTATAAGCAAGCTCCTTGTTAGAAAATGGGTATCGATACAAAGATTAATAATACTTTGATAAATGGTTAAAATTTTTATTCAAAGACTAAACTTTTTTGATACAATTTTCCAGGATGTAAAGTAAAAAATAATTTTGAGACTTGTTTATAATCAACTATTTCATTGTAGTGGATATTCATGATGGCTAATAAACCAAGTCTATTTGCAGTCATACTGGCCCTCAACCATGTTCTTAATCTTTGCATTGAAAATTAATCTTCGCACTGAATAGCTTTACATTCTGCGGACGTTACGGGTAGTGTACATCCGATCTTTAGAACTCAAAGAGATTAGGATATTGATTTTCATTGCAGATTTTAATGGCTTTAGCTAGAGTATTAGGCCTATTTTCAGATATAATAACAAGCCATTTCCTTTTCCAAAACATGAATTCCTGATCTACAGCTTCTGAGTTTGGAAGATCACTTTTATACATTTCAACTAACTCCTGGAAAGCAGTTATCTCCTAACTGTAAATTATCGAGGGAACCAAGCATAAAACCTTAGCAGCAATGTAATTTGTAATTTGGAATCGTATTTTGATTTCTGAAATGAAGGTTTCAAGAAAAGTTATAATCAAGGCCCGTTTATAATATTCATGGGGACTCTGTGCAGGTACGTTTTTTCTGTAAGCCTATCTCATAGTGATTCTGGGGATCGTTGGTTCTACAAATAATTTACTTGCCATACAAATAGCTTGTTGGTAAATTGAGTTAGATTCCTTTTTAACATTTTTCCGTAGATGGTTCAAATCGTCAATTGTTTCTTGAATGTTACTGTATGCATACACAATATCAGTTGTGCGCCCTGGTAACCTCTCCGTTATATACGACAACGGGTGAAGTAAGCGGTACAAAGTTATAACACCAATTATGAATTCTAACTTAGTGAGTACATTACCCGAGAAAAAAAAACCCGCTAATCCTGTTAAGTTCTTAATAAGTTTCCTACTAAAACTTAGTAAGTTCCCGCCGAGTACTTACTAGGAACTTAGTAGGATTAGCAGGTTTTAGTAGGAAACTTAGTAGGATTAGCAAGTTTTAGTAGGAAACTTAGTAGGATTAGCAAGTTTTTAGTAGGAAACTTAGTAGGATTAGCAAGTTTTTAGTAGGAAACTTAGTAGGATTAGCAAGTTTTTAGAAGGAAACTTTGTAGTATTACTAGGGTTTTTACTCGGAACTTAGTAGGTACTTAACAGGATTAGTAGGTTTTTTTTTCTCGGTTAAGTATTACTTTCTAGTTTTAGTTAATAGTTTTTTTAGTTAAATTCATATGTTTATTAGGGTTTTATTTAATTATTTGAGTTTTAAAGATTTCATAGATATATTAGTAGGCTTATTTTTCAAGAAATATACGAGTTTAAGTAAAAATAATAATTTTTACTTAAACACAGAATCTTCTTGAAAATATAATCCTTATAATATAACTTAACTAGTCGCTAAGCAATAAGGACGCTTATTTATAAAACAATAATAAAAATAACAAATAATTAAGTGTTAGATTGTTTAACAAGAACATTTAAAAAAATACAATAAACAGCGATGGTCAGTTCTTTTGGTAATTTCGCAGGTGTCAGTGGAATAATTGCACCCATAGGATTTTTCTTAATCTTTTACGACCATAACTGTAGCTATAACGTAATTTATAAAAATATTAATGTAATTCAACAACATAATAACATATATTTTATAACAAAAAAGCATATTTAACTTACCATAAATTTAGAACGATGAAAAAACTTTCATTATCATTGTTTCAAAGCTATTATAATCTAAAATTTCAAAATAAAAGTGTATGAATATATGAAACTAAGTTAAATTAAAAAAATTTAAATAAGCCTCGTGTGTATATATATATATATATATACATATATATATATATATATATATATATATATATATATATATATATATATATATATATATATATATATATATACACATATATATATATACACATATATATACACATATATACACACATATTATTTTTATATACATATAAAAAAAGGAAAATTTACAGTTGACGAAAAACAATTAATAATTGTATCTAAATAAATATTTAATTAATTTAATAGATATTAATCGTATCCACCTGTTATCCGCGATATCAGGTGGATACGACTTCTTTTCTTTTAACAAATTTATTTAATTCTTAAAAGAAACACTACACAAAGTCAAAATGGTACAAAAAGAAATCTGATTTAGATCATTGTAAACAACAAACTCTTGTCCCCATTATGAATTAAGTTTGATGTTTCATTAATTAATTGATTGCAAACAGAATCCTAAATAACAACTTCTAATAAAAAGAATATTGTAAAGTAAATATATAATAATACAAAAAAACATAATACAATTTCAAACTTTAAAAAATAGAAATAAAACCTAATCATGTTCATAATTATTTTGAATAACAACACTATAATAAAATTTCTTTGTTTTTTTTAAAAGAGCGTAGTGAGTAAATTTGCTTGAATCAAAAACAGCTAATCCACACTTTTTCAACAGTAAATAAGGAGATATTTTTGACAAAACATGCTTGATTTTGATAGGAATATTAAAAGAATCCATATGACGATGAACTTACTTACATTTTTATACAATCGTCATATACACAAGATTTGTCTTTGGTTATGTGCAATAAACAAAATTTTCACAATCACATTAAATTCTATTAAATATGCATAATATGAAGCTGATTTTAATTTTTTACCATAATGATAAGCATGAAAAGTTTTATCAGCAACTCTAAAACGGTTATAAAACTGATAAAGATTTAGGTCAACATTTAAATCATTCAAATCCATATTCCACAACTTATCTGATATATTTTGTGCTGCACCTAACACAAAAGGATTCAAAGAAAAAGTATTTAAGTGGTTTTCCGTCTGAAATCTAATAAATTTTTCAGCCATTTGCCTTCTATGGCCTTTAGTTCCTGCAACAGACCTCTTTAGTTGGCGATTTACATTTTCAAACACCATAGCAGACGCTGCTGTAAGAGGTCCAAAATTTTTTACCTGGTCAGAGAGATGCGCTAATGCATGGAAAGTGAATGTGCAAATACCTTCACCGAAATAGGAGCATAATCCCTTTTGAAATAAATAAATTAGTTGCTGACAAGCATCAATATCATTTGATGAAACAATTTTATTGGATAATGTATAAATAGATGTTGAAAGCATTAAATAAAGAGAACAAATTTCAGCATTACCAAATTTTTAAAACACAAATGGCCCATAATACAATAGAAAATACTTCAAATTTTTTGGCTTCCGTCGAAAAAAATGTGGCAATTTTATGGAGTCTATTAGACTAAAAAGATCTAAAAGACTTTGATGAACATCTTTTTATCTAAGAAAAAATCTTCTTAAATTTTTCTTAGTTTTTATTTTTTTATTTTGTCTATTTCAAAACATTCATTTTGTTATTTATCAAAATAATAAATATTCGTCAGGTGGACAAAAAAATTACTTTTGCTACTTGTTACAAAGATTTAGATCAGCAGTTGCATGCCGGCATGAAGCAAAAATAGGTTGGATTTTGCGTTGGCATTACCAACCTGAATTTTGCAGGATGTATATACATTTGCACACCCCCCCCCCCCACTAAAGAAGTAAAGAGCCCTGCTTAAATTTTTTCTCCCACGTTAGATTTTTTCAAAATATATTTAAGAATGAAATATCCAATATTTCCTTTTTATATTAAGTTAATATAATACGATTAAGTCTATAAAAAAATTAATTAAACTTATATATATATACATACATACATATATATATATATATATATATATATATATATATATATATATATATATATATATATATATATATATATATATATATATATATATATATACATATATATACACACACACACACTCAAAAAATTTCAAGTTCTTCATTTATATTCAACATGATTAATGAATAATTATGCATAATCACATTATATATAAAGAAACAGAAAATAAAATAGTCACCTGAAGCTGATTGATTGTACATGGTTTGAGATGGAACTAAACATATTGTGTGTGTGTGTATATATATATATATATATATATATATATATATATATATATATATATATATATATATATATATATATATATATATATATATATATATATATATATATATATATATATATATATATATATATTACTAAAAACTTGAGTAACTAGCATTATATAACTATATACAGTAGTAATTAATCAAAATATCATAAAATTAAATTATTGAAATTTTAAATTAATTTATATAATGGCATTTATAACAAAAATCTTTATGTTAAGTAAATAAAAACTATAATACAAAATATAAAAATATTCAATAATTTTATAGTTTGTTTAACATGTTAAAAAGAAATGTTAAATCTTGTTAACAAGAGATAACAATAAAAATATATTTACCAGTAAAAAAAGTTTATATATATTTTATGAGAGAGTGATTTCAATATTGATCAATTTTTAATGTCAAATGGTTTACTCCCTTTTAGTCTGACTAAAACTTTTAGTCAAGCTTGAAGTGAGTGGTTTTTTGACATAAAAATTTGTCTTTTTAAATAAAATTACAAATAAAATTTTAAGAAAATTAAAAGTAAAAGTCTTTCTTTTTACTAAAAAAAAGTGACAAATCTTTATTAATAAAGATAAGTCACTTACTCTTTTTAGTAAAAAGAAATAGTAAAAAGAAAGAGTGACAATATAATTGTTTATGATTTATGATTTTATGTTTATTAAACAATATAAAATCATAAACAATGAAAATAAAAAAATCAGAAATAAAAATAAAATATAATTTAAAAAACACATCACCATACATATCACTATGAATCAGAAAATGCTCGAATTGATACAACAGAAAATGCTCGAATTTATATAAAAATTAACATTTAAAACCACATTATAACACATTAACAAATATTCATCAAATAAACTGCAAACCACGCAATCATGGAGGCCCGCCGGATGCTTTAACCAGTAGAACAGTTTTTTCCGGAGATAATTCTATATTGGAAATAACTCGAGGTGCAATTTGTTCGGATGATTTGGTATCTTTAGCTGCTAAAGATTGAATGTTTTGCCTTAACATTATTTGAGAGAATTGGTGGGGCAAATCTTTTCCTAAAGGGCTAAGGAATTTGCTGTAACGCACCTTTGGTTTTTTCTCAATAGTGGTTTGCTCTATAAAAGGATTTTTTTCTTGCATCGTTGAACGACCAATTCGGCATATTAGGCAACAACACATCGTGCCTCTTGTTTCAGGTCTCACTTGTATTGAATTAAAATCAAATATTTTTTTAACCAGCAATGATCTAGCAACATTATTTAGAAATATGAAGACTGAGCTTATTAAAGTTTCTGACTGGTTTAAATCAAACTAACTATCAATTAATATAGAAAAAACTAAATGGATGCTTTTTTACCCAACTTCAACAAAAAAATTAATTCCAAGTATTACGTCACTTATTTTTGTAGACAATATTGAATTAAAACGAACAAAAATTACAAAATTTTAAGGCACTTATATTAATGAACATTTTAAATGGAAAAATCACGTTAACAATCTAATTAACGAAATTGCTAGAACTATAGGAATATTATAAAAATCAAAAAGTTTCTTAAATAAACATACTTTAATCATGGCCTACTTTATTTATACGGCCGGATATTTTACATTTTGAAGAAAAAAATAGAAGGCCAGTTTTTAAAATCGTAATGTTTCAAAAATTTAATACGTTTTGAACATTTTCAATATTATTTTACTTTCTACATTTAAAAACTCCACAAAAGTTGTATTTATTCATAATTTTAGATATTAAACGAACATTTATTAAGAAATAAATAGTGTTTATTTTAAAATTTAGTATTAGTAAAAACGATGTAAGAAACAAGAACAGTTATAAAAAATATTTAAATGTTTCTCTTTTTTCATTTAAAAATAAAATAATGATAATTTATTAAATTTTCTCAAATTTTCTCTTTTTAAAAGATTTTACATGATCAACAGCTACTTCACTGGTAGAGATAATTCTTTTATTATTAAGAAAAATGTTAACAACAATTCTTCCAGCAAGTTTTATCCCAGTTTTCTCATGCATGGGACAAGAAAAAGTCTGAAAAGAGTCATAAAAGTGGTTTAACAAATATTCTAAAGCTTGTTGTGCATGTAAACTAAATTTCTTTATTTTTTTATAAAAGTAGTCAATCATAGCAAAGGATGTGCAAACATAATCCAAAAGTAACGGTGAAGGAATAGTGAGACCACCCCTAGAAATAATTGTTAAATAAGTATGATCAGGATTGTTTTCATCAATATTGACACAACATAAAAATTCTTTACAACATGTACCAAAACGTTTTTTAAGTTTCTTTGCTATATAACCAGCAATATGAGCACCTACTTCCCTACTTTCTGGTGCAAGTGTCATGATTTCTGGAGTACACTGAGCTTCATCAATATCAAGAAGAAAGTTTTTCCAATCTGTTAAATTATTTTCTGACTCAGGCACTTTTAAACTATCATCGAAGTTAATACTTTCTTTAACTATACTTTTGATTTTTAATATTTTTTCAGAAATAGTGACATCTTTTAAACCTACCAAAAATCTTCCACCGCTCATTTGTCTATATTGTCCAAATCTCTTTTCTAATGGGTCACTTTGAAATCTCGCAGTTAAAACAAAGTGATATTCATCATTAAGCAAGTCCTCGATCAATGAGGCATGACTATTAAGTGTTCTTATTAGTGCTGCAGCTGTCTGAACACTTAAAGTAAACTTCTCACAGTTTGGTATCTTTTGTGATTGCCAAACTTCAATCCAATGTGCCATTTCCCGAAGAAATTCAGGTTTTTTATCACCAGAAACGACTGCATTACCTAAAATATTACATGCTGAATACTGACACTTAGAATTTGATAAAACCCACCATTTGTTAAATAATGTAAGAAAATCTGCACTACTTTTAAGATCTGGAAAATATGAGTGAATCGCTGCTGATGTAGTTTCATCAAAAATTGCAAGTGCTAAAGAAACATTTTGTTTAAAATTGCCAGGATGTAACACTTTCATTGTTATTTTTGGTGCTTTACGCAAACCAGCATCAAGAGTGAGGTCTTTTTCATAAATATTGTGGAAGGTACTCCATTTAATTTCTCCCCCACATACAAATATAGGATCTTTAAATCCATTAAAGTTAAAATCTGGAAATAAAAATCTTTTGCAATTTAACAAATTATTTCTGATGTTTTTAATAAGATGTACAACATCAAAACAGAGGTAAATTTTTTTTAGATTGTAAATAAAAAACAAATCTTCAGCTTGTTGATTCGATGCACAAAGGATTTTTTTAAAACAAGAAACATTAGCAGAATGGTTGTCACACACAATAACTATAACATTAAATTCACATTAAGTTAAAATACGAAGACATTCAAAAATTTCTTCTTTCAACCATTCAGCATTGATTGTTTTTTCAGGAGACGTTTTGATCACATATGGAATGTTTTGTTTCAGGCCAACTATCATAAAACAAACTATTCTCTCCAGCAAAATACTCCTCACATTTTTGCAAGTACATTTCATCAAAAATCAAGCAAATGTCTTGAGATATCTTACCTTCTAATTTTAAACGTTTTGCACAACTTAGAGCATCAATATTTCCACTAGTTATTTTTTAAAGTAATGATAATGATGGTAAAGGCAATTCTTCACGCAAAAGTTGGTATGACTGCATAGAAGTATATCGTAATATCAGTGAATACCTTATAATATTGGCTGAATAAATAGGTTTTTTCATATATTTAATTTGCTGTAATTCAGTCAATACAGATGAAAATTGTTCGGCTTGTGATTTAATGTAGGTAGGAAAATTATGAAGCATACTTTTACAAGATAAACGACAATCTGTTCCTTGACAAAACCACTGAGGTAATGGCAGAGGTGAACCTCTGTAAAATAATTTAACATGCATCTCATTGTTTACACGAATGCACTCTGTAACCTCTGGAATAGATAAAGTACTATGACTCAATTTATAAAAAATTACATGATCATCATACTTCAAGAATGAAAAACCATCTGGAGCAAAACTTTCAGTAATATCGTTAAAGCTATTAATCAAATCATTCAATAAAAACTGTTCATATTGATCTGGCTGAAATATTCTTTTAGTTGGTGATTTTCTTAATGAATTAGAAGATTTTATAAGTTGTAATGAACCTTCTTCAGTCAAATTTGTGCAGTCAAAAATAGTTGGAATAGGCTTTAAATTTTTTATTAATCTAAAACGTTGATTCTTATTACCTTTCTTATAATTTTTTTCAAAATGTTTGATGCATATAACGGAAGAATTAGTAGGTGTCCAATCTTTTCTATTTAGGTATGCTACATGAAATTTTTAAATTGAATAAATTCTAGGTTGTTATATATCATTAGAAAGATCTTTAATTGAATAATTTAAAAGCGAAAAAATTATCAAAATCAAACAATTCCAAAAAAAGTTATGACGCTTTTAGTACCGATTTTTGGATATATGGATTTGTTGATTAAACTGTGGTCAAAATAATTTTTTTTTCAACTAAAATTGCAATAACTTGGTCAATTCTTGTCTAAATACTTAAAACTTGATGTCATTAGATAGATGTTAGAATAACCTAACTATTAATCTTGGCCTACACCTTCCAGGCGTATTAGGGGTGGCTAGAGGGGGCATCCAGCCACCACCTTTACTACTATAATATCAACATTTCATCTATAAAAGAGTATTTTTTTATGAAATTGTTGATTTTCATATGCAAGTAGTTGTTTTCATTTCCTTCTAGACCATATGTGAAAAGTTAAACTTCGATTCAGGGTGTATGTGGTGGAGGCTGGGGGAGGGGGGGGGAACACCCTATTTTTGAAAAAGTATTTTTTTAAATAATGGAAATTTTTTTAGAAGAAGGGGTGGGCCTGACCTAAAAAAAAAGGTATATGTTGGGGAGGGGGTGTACACCCTATACACCCTTTTATTAAAAATGATTATTTTATCAATTTTATATTTATTTAAAAAAAAGTAAATCTAGTATAAAAATACAAATTAAATTAAACTATATTACAACGTGCACCGGTGGCACCCATCGAATCGGAAGCAGGTCGCCTCTCCACCTCCAACCTAAATTAACATAAATACATTATTAAAATTGAAAATATTATTTAATTTACATATGAAATTAGTTATTATAATTTCCTTCCAGACTTCCATACGATAGGTTATTCTTTGACTTTATTAAAAATGGTATTATTTATTAAAAAAAGTATTATCAAAAATGAGTATTGAATAAACGAATGAATTCATGAATGAACATTTGAAAAAATCAAATGTTATAGTTTTACCATATTACAAGATGCACCAAACTGAAGATGTTATCACGTTACAAGGCATCAGACATTTTTTTGGTAGAAGAGGCAGCTTAACTCATTAAGATTTTTAGTCCAGATATCACAAATTTTTTTTATTGTAAGATGGTTAGTCGAAATTCTATCTGACATCGTGTTTGATATATTTGAGATAATCAAACAACAACATTCGTCAAAGGGTTTTAAGTAAAAATTTGAATAAACTAAAGCAGTATGATCCACTTGTTACCTGTTGGGACATTGGACAATATCATGCTGTAAATTATCATCCTCATTTTTAATAGATAAGTTTTATCATCATCTAACATAATTGTATTATTTATATTGCAGTCTTCCATCTGGGTCATATTGTTTTCTAAGCAAGTAATAGCATTTGTATTTGTCCTATTAGCAGCATTATGTCTGAGAGTTACATTTCTAAACTTTTCTCTCTTTTTATTTTTCATTGCCTTTTTAGTAGCAATAAGGTTGCGAAAAAATCTACTGTAATAATGTTTGTATTTTATTTTTTAAGTCTCTAACCTCAGCTCATAAAGTTTTTATAATCTGTTCTTTTCTTTTAGCACTCTGTCTTAAAACTTTTAATTTATATCGCATGCAGTTTATGATTGTTTTCAAAGATATCTTCGTACGACTTTCTGTGGTAGACCTAGCTAACCGAGAAGATAATGTGACATCATCTTTTAGAACTTAGTTTCTTAGGACTAGGCTTTTCTATTTTCTGTCTTGTTGTATGCCTTGTATTCAAATTTTCACTTCCACTTACATTACATTCATTTATTGTCGATGTATAACTAATGTGTCTAGAATCTGTCTCAACTGAAGAACATAAAATATTAGAAATAGCATTACAAGAGGTAGGTGGCACTAAAAGTGTAATTGTTGACAATGATCTAAGACAAGGCTCATTGCGAAATGCAACACAACTTGCATTTAGCCTTTTAAAATTTTTTGACTGCATACACTATGCTTTTAATTTGTGATAGGCAAATGATACTAATCAACTGTAAGTCAAAATACTCATTAAGCTGTGCAACAGTTTTGCTATAAACTTCACCGTTGTGTGTAAAAAGAAAAAAATACGTACCCATTCATACATTGAATGCTTGTTCCAGATGGTAATTTGTAGTTAGCAGCTAAATATTTCTTAAACCCTCCACAAAATATTGTTTTAGTATACCTTTTTTTTGGACGCATTTTGTTGTAAATAATAAAAAAATATTTTACTATTATCAAACTAATGTGTTTGATAAAGACCACAAACACTAAAACCACTAAAAAAAAAAGTGTAGAACTTTTATTTTATAACCTTTGAATATATTTTATTTAATGTATTTATTACAAAAGAACTAGATTAGTGTAAAATAGTTAAGTATAAGTAACTTTAAAAATAATCAATTAATTTATAAATTATAAGAAAAAACAAATAAATATTTGTAATGAAATAAGAAAAAAAGAAATGAAAATAAAATAACATTAAAGAATAAATAAACAATATTAAAAATATTAACCACAACATTATTTGTATTCTAAAACAATTATTAATACAATAACAAAAAAAGTAGTAATGGTATATATATATATATATATATATATATATATATATATATATATATATATATACATATATATATATATATATAATATATATATATATATATATATATATATATATATATATATATATATATATATATATATATATATATATATATATATATATATATATATATATATATATATATATATATATATATATATATATATAATATATATATATATATATATATATATATATATATATATATATATATATACATATATATATATATATATATATATATATATATATATATACATATATATATATATATATATATATATATATATATATATATATATATATATATATATATATATATATATATATATGTATATATATATATATATATATATATATATATATATATATATATATATATATATATATATATATATATATATATATATATATATATATATATATATATATATATATATATATTAAAGTTAAATATAGAAATTAAAGAAGTAGGTTTGGATTACAAACAGAAAAAAATTGCCAAGATGAAGAAGTAAATTATTGAAAAAACTTGGAAAAAAAACAACAATTAAATAAAAAATAATTTACTACTTACACAGAGTGTAAAAAATAAATAAATCTATTTCAACCAAAAAGTACTTGCTCCTTTTGACTTACAATAACTATAGTATTAAATCTTGCGCTTTCAACCAATTTCCCTTGCAAGTGTTAACTTGCATATATTTTTTATTTATTTAAAAATCTAAAGATAATCATAGACATGAAATTCATGTTTATGATTATCTTTAGATTTTTATTTTATTTTATTCATGATGAATAAAAATAAATACGTTATCTACAGGTTAATAACCTGTAAATAAAACACAGAAAATTTAAAAATATACACATAAATTAAGCAAACAAATGTCATTTAGAGCGTATCATTTTTTTGAGTTGAATATCATAAACTGATAAAAATTTAATCACAAAGAAAAGCCAATTTGGCTTTTATTTGTGATTAATTATTGGCCAAATAACTTTGAGATTGAGATCGGTGGCAATAATTTGGAGATTGCAATGTTCTCCAAATAGTTTGGAGATTGCAATGTAGTAAAGCTCATTTTATCTAAAAATTAGATTATTAAACGACTATATAAAACCGAATAATGTTTATTTGAAGAGTTTCTCTTTACAATTTCATATACTAACATATAAAAGTATTTTCAAGTTCTGAAAAGTATACATTTGTTTGTTTTTAACGGCTGGTTATTTCACCCCCCTATCTCCCGTGAATATTCTAGAAAATTTTGAAATTAGGTACCAAAAGTGGGGGTAAAAATAGAGATAATGCGCATCCATATTTTTCAATGAAACTTGGCAGGTAAACAAAAAATGTGTAAACTTAAGGGTAAGACTAGGTTAGAAATGTGTAAAAACTCATCTTCAAAGTATGGGGAATGCATAATGTACTACACATTTTTAAAAGTCAATAAATTATCTTAAAAAGTTCGTTATAGTAATCAAAAGACAAATAGCAACCAAGATATATTCTTCTAGTTTTTTAAAAATATCTATTGTAATATGAAAATTTAAAAATTTAGGCAGCAAAAAACGTTCCTACCTTACTGGCGAAAAGAAAACTTAAAAAAGCGTGGAACAAGAATTTAGCACATTTATCGGTTCCGTAAAACGCGAATTCCGCATACCTATTCTATTTACAAATTTAATCCAATATTTTTTTAACTCTTCATTTTTTGGAAACGAAAATACTACTGTAGATACTTCACCATAATTATGATAATTTGAACGACAATTTACGACGCAACATTTGTTAACCATCTTTTTGAACTTCCAAAGCTGCTTTCTTAAAAACACTTTTCCAGAAAACTGGCCTTCTATTTTTTTCTTCAAAATGTAAAATATCCGGCCGTATAAATAAAGTAGGCCATGCTTTAATTCAATTATATTATTCCTTTATTCACTGACATATTACGCTAATATTGCTTGGGGAAGTGTGAACAAAAGTATGCTAGAACCTCTTCATCGTCAACAGAAACACATTGCACGTCTTATAACCTTTAAAGACCGTTTTACTCATGCCAGGCCTCTCTTACTTGAAATGAATACTTTAAATGTATATCAGCTTAACGTTTATAATATTTTATGTTTTATGTATAAATGTAAAATTAACGATTTCCCTTCTTCCTTTCATAACCTATACTCAATAAAAGAAAAAAACAAGTACAATCTATGAAATGATAATTTTATTCTACTACAATTTTCGCATACAAATTTTGGTAAATCTTATGTTTTTTTCCGAGGAGCCTTTCTTTGGAATAAAATAGTTTTGAAATATTTTGACTTTTCTCATGAATGGACCTATACCTCATACAAAAGGAAACTTAAGAAAATCATTTTGTCTATTGATAATATACTTTTATACTTTTAATAGGAAATTTATTTGTAAATTTTTATTTTTATTTAAATTATGTTTTTCTTCTAATATTGTTAAACACAGTTTTTTTATTTATTTTAAAATATTTAACACGTAAATTTGTAACGAGTTTGCAGCGGTTCTCGACGACAAGACCTTAAGGTCTTCTACGAGTCTCCGTATTCTTTTTTTTTATATTAATAGTAAAAATCCTCACTTGTAATTGTTTATATTATTATATTTTAACTTGTAATTTTATAAATATTGAAGAAATTGAAAAATATATATATAGAATTTTTTTATTATTATTATTATAGTTGTAGCCGTAAATTTACATAGAATGTACACATACAGCGAGCAGGGGAAACACCCCACTATAAACAACCAGTTTTATAAATATTTGTTCCAAACTTTTTCCACAACCAGGTGTCTAGTCTATTTTTGAAAGAAAGTACAGTGGAGTACAAAGTTATTTGCTCTGGTAGATTGTTCCAGTATTTTGCTGATCTATTATACAAATGATTATATCTTGGAAGACAGTTTAGAACATACTCACGCCTTATTTTAGAATGGTGACCACGAGACACGGAGTTAATATATTTTGGTAGATATTTATCATTAACTATATCAAAACGATGTATTAATTTAAAAATTTGGATTAAATCGCATCGAAGGCGTCGAAACTCAAGTGATGGTAGGTTTAATCTTTTTAGCCTTTCGCAGTATTGAAGATGCCTCAAGCTGTAAGCCCATTTTGTAGCTTTGCGTTGAACAGATTCAACCAAAGCCATATCAGCTTTTAAAAAAGGAGCCCAAATGGACACTCCATATTCAAGATGTGGTCTTATAAATACTTTATATAATTTGAGAGCCATTTTTTCATCAATGAAAGTGAATGTCTTTTTCAGCATACCGAGAATTTGTAAGGACTTAGAGACAACTGTTTGAATATGAGCGCTCCACTTGAGGTTAGATGTAAAAATGACTCCTAAATCACGTTCTTTAGTAGAGCTTCTTAGAGATTGGTTGATTCCTTGGTTATTTTGAAGAAAGTAATTGTAATGGGGGTTGTTTCGACCGTAATGAATGACGCAGCATTTTGAAGTGTTTAGCTTAAGTAACCAAGTGTTTGACCACTCGTATACCAAGCGTAGACGATCCTGCAGATCAACAAAATTAGATTGCGATAAGGTTTTAGAAAAAAGTTTAGTATCATCGGCAAATATCTCAGAAGTTTCAGTGAGTTTTGCGAGATCATTTGTGTAGAGAATGAAGAGGAGCGGGCCGAGAACAGAACCTTGAGGAACACCACTGAGAACATCAACCCATGCAGAGCTGGTATTGTTAATTGTAACGCGTTGCTTTCTGCCCACTAAAAAAGATTTAATCCATTGTAGGAGTTTGCCGTTTATTCCGAAAGATCTTAATTTTAACAAAAGTCTGTTGTGAGGTACAGAGTCAAACGCTTTGGCAAAGTCAAGATAGATTACATCAATAAATTGGTGAGATGCTATGGAGGACGAAATGATATCAAAAGTTTCTATTAGGTTAGTTACGCATGATTTATGATAAAGGAAGCCATGTTGATTTGCAGAGAGCATTTTATTATCGTTAATGTGCTTTAAAATTTTTTTCTTTACAAGTTTTTCAAAGATTTTACAGGCAACAGATGTTAGTGAAATAGGTCTATAGTTTTCAGCAAGTAATTTATCTCCCTTTTTTTTATAGATCGGACTAATATTTGCTAATTTCCATTGAGTGGGTACTACTCCAGAATTAAAGGATTTATGAAAGATTTTTGTTAATGGAATTGCAAAGCTTTTGGCACATATCTTGAGTATTAAGGGATGCAAGCCGTCAGATCCGAATGATTTATAAGGCTTTAGATCGGCAAGTTCCTGAATAATATCTGAGATAGAGAAATCCAAGTTTTCATTATAAATGCATTCAGAAATAATACCACTTTTATTTAGCAAAGGAAAATTTTCAGAGCTTTCAAGTGTAAACATAGATTTAAATTGAGAGTTTAGAAGATCAACTATATCAGGAAGAGCTTCAATAATTCTGCCTGAAGTATCTTTGAGAGAGCGAATTCTATCTTTAATTTTTAGTTGTTTGTTGATATATTTGTAAACGATTTTTGGGTTGTTTTGGGATTTTGATATTATTTCTTTTTCATGTGCTTTTTTTGCTTTAAATATTTCAGTTTTTACTGAACGATTAAGGCGATTGTATTTTATTTTAAGCTCACTATTCTCCCATTTGGTAGAGCAGTTT